TTTTTAATTGAATTTTTGTGTATTTCAGACAGAAAATCATCTTTGTACCCCCCTCCCCCTTGAGTGCAAGTTCATCCACTGGAATCTAGTCAGTCTATCTAGAGTCCCTCCCTTTAAGAAGATCAGCTCATTTTCACCCAGAAAATTAAGCTTTTTAACAGTTTTGTGGCTTCCTATTTCAGTTCCCCCAGTAACCTACTGGTTATGGAAATGAACTGCCTAGCCTTCTTGGGACACACTCTAGCGGCTATTTCCTGACTTACTAGCTTGACTTTGTCTCTAGCTCAGCACTTATTTAATACAAAACCCAGAGTCTAACTTCTCTGAAGTATTTAGTAAAATATGAGTATTGCATTTCATTGTGCTGTCTTCAGGGATGTAAACAATCTAAAGGCTTTCAGTAGGGTAGTATTATAGTATTATTGCAGTAATATTTTCTGAAGAAATCTGAAATTTGGAGCAATAGGACATAAAATATAGCCATATGCACCAACACATGGAGAAAAGTTCAAATGTGGATGACCAGAAAAAGACCAAAGTATCACTAGTGATAGGTAGCTCTATGAACTAAGTTTGATTTCCTCGAGGAAAATAAGGTATCAAACCTATCTGAATATGCCTCTGAAGGAATGAGAAACAAACCCCTTAATTTATAGACAGGGTCTCAGGTAGCCCAGGCTGGCCTTGAATTCCAGATCTTCCTGCTTCAACCTCCCAAGTGCTGGAGTCACAGGAAGTGCCATTGCACCTACTCTACTAAAAATCCTTTCTTTTTTTTATTTATTTTTAAATATTTTATTTATTATTTTTATTTTATGCGTATGAGTGCATTGCCTGTGTTTATGTAAGTGCACCCATGATGTGCAATGTCTACAGAGGTCAGAAGAGGGCATCGGATCCCTTGGAACTGGAGTTTTGGATGGTTGTCAACCACCATGTGGGTGCTGGGAATCGAACCTGAGTCCTATGCAAGAGCAGCCAGTGCTCTTAACCATTGAGCCATCTCTCCAGCCCCATTATTTTTATTTTTTGAGACAAGGTGGCCCTGGCTGGTTGGTACTCCCTGTGTAGACCAGGATGACTTTGAACTCACAAAAATCCACCATCCCCTGCCTCTGCCTCTGCCTCCTAAGTACTAGGATTAAAGGCATGTGCCACTCTACCCAGGAAAATCCTTTATTCTTAAAAAAATTATATAGTGTTGATAGATTAGTTGCAGAGGAGAAAGAAACAGATGACTAAGCTGAAAAAAATCTTCTGGCTTGTCATATCTTTTCTAGGCAATGCTGTTCTTGTTAAGAAACACAGCACAAAATACAGTTTTGCAAAGTACATAAATTAGGGAAGGCAGCAGTTTCTAAATAGAAAAATGAAGACAGCAGCAACAGGTAAGGAAGCCTTGGGCCTCTGAAGTAGAAATACTGGCATTTGCACATGGGCGTGGTAGACTCAGAAAATGATACATGTACTGGCCTGCAACAGCCTGTCTCTGTCATGATCTAAGGGAAAAATAACCCAGCAGAAGCAGCCATTCAGTCAGAGGAGGAACATTTCCTCAGACATCAATAATTAAGCACTCACTCAGTGTATACAAAGGCAACAGATTACGTATTGAGGGATCAACCTTAAAGAACCTTTGCTACTCTGAAATTAAAAACTATACTTTTGCTGGGTGCAGTGGCGTACACCTTTAATCCTAGCCCTCGGTAGGCAGAAGCAGGTGGATCTCTGTGAGATAGAGGCCAGCCTGGTCTACATAATGAGTTCCATAGTGAGGCCAACCAGTGCTACACAATGGGATCCAGGCTACAGAGAGATCCTGTCTAAAAAAAACCAAAACAAAATAAAAAGCATACTTTTGCCAGGTATGATGGTGAACGCCTGTAATCCAAGCACTTGGGACATGAAGGCATGAGGATCAGGAGTTTGAGGCCAGCCTGGGGTACATGAAATTCTGTCCTAAGTAAAAAGGGCCCCATTCCCAAACCCACCCCATCCTGTACTCCCATTTTCTCACACGTGTTTTTTCAGTGATAGAGCACATACTTAGCAGGAACAAAACCCTGGGTTTAACCCCTAGTAGCCCCACCCACCCAACAACAACAACGACAACAACACACACACACACACACACCTGAGCCTCCCAAGTACCTGAGTTATAGGTGTGTGTCACAGCATCTGACTTGTAAGCTTTCTTTAGCAAGTGAAACACACACTGTTCTCTGTCGTTTACCCTGTGTCACTTTTTCTGTGAACGATACTAATTGACATTTTACATATTTATCATGACTCTTTCCAACTAGAATTTAAGCTTCAGGAGGGTAGAGATTTCAAATATTTTGTTGACAGAGTTCTAATATCTAGAAAGTTTTCCAAAAATATTTGTAAAATTAGGGGCTGGAGAGATGGCTCAGCAGACAAGAGCACTGGCTGCTCTTGGAGAGAACCCAGGTTCAGTTCCCAGCAACCAAACGGTAGCTAACAACTGTTCATAATTCAAGTTCCAGGGGATCCAAGGCCCTCTTCTGACCTCTGTGGGCATTGTACAACAGAGGTACACTTATATATAGGTAGGCAATACACTCATACACATAAAAAAATTTTTTTTCGTCTTTTTGAGGCAGGGTCTCCCTGCAGCCCCAGCTGGCCTGGAACTTGCTATGTAGACCAGGCTGGCCTTGAGCTCACAGAGATCTGCCTGCCTCTGTCTCCCAAGTACTGGAACTAAAGGCATGTGCCACCACACCTGGCTAAAAAGGTTTTTTTTTTTGGTCTTTTTTTGAGACAGGGTCTCCCTGTAGCCCCAGCTGTCCTGGAACTCACTATGTAGACCAGGCTGGCCTTGAACTCACAGAGATCTGCCTGCCTCTGCCTCCCAAGTGTTGGGATCAAAGGCATGTGCCACAATGCCGGGCTAAAATAATAATTTTTTAAAATAAAAATATTTGTAAAATTGGGGACCAGAGAGTTGGCTCAGCAGTTAAGAGCACTAACTGCTCTTGCAGAGGACCTGGGTTTGATTCCCAATGCCCACATGGTGGCTAACAACCATCTGTAACTCCAGTTCCAGAGATGGATGCCCTCTTCTGACCTTTGCAGGCATTTCATGACATAAGTGCACCTATATACATGTAGGCAATACACTTATACACATAAAATATTTTTAAAAATTTGTATCTGACCTTTTTTTTAATACCAGGCTGGCCTCAAAAATCACTATGTACCCAAGGATGACCTTGAAATTCTGATCCTCTGCCTCTACTTCCAGAGTGCTGAGATTACAGGCCTATGCCAGGTATGTGTTGTACTAGGGATCAAACGCAGAGCTTTGTGCATGCTAGGCAAGCACTCTACCAATTTAGATACATCCCCAACAAAAGTGCTTTGAGAATTCTGAGGAGGTGGCTCAGTGAGTGAGAGCTCTTGCACTGCAAGCAAGACCCAAATTGCAATCCTCAGCACTTGCATAAAAAGCAGGGCATGGCCCAGCGTGGTGGTGCATGCCTTTAATCCCAGCACTCAGGAGGCAGAGGCAGGCAGATCTCTTTGTATTCAAGGCCAGCCTGGTCTACACAGCGAGTTCCAGGACAGCTGGGGCTACAGGGAGACCCTGTCTCAAAAAGAAAAAAAAGAAAAATCTGCTAAACTGAGTATAGTGGCACTGTGCCTGCCTGTAACCCAGCATTGGAGGGCATAAACAGGATTCTTAGAATTGGGGGGAGGGTATAGACAGGCAGATCTTGAAAGCTCACCAGCCAGCTAGCCTACATGAAATGGTGAGCTTCTGGTTCAGTAAGTCCCTTTCTTGAGGCAATAAGGTTGAGAGTCACAGTGGAGGGGCATCCAACATCCTGATCTGGCTTTCACATCTGCACACATACTGGCACCCATGTGCATGCACCACAGACACCTCCCCTCCATGGTTTTTACAAAGACCCCATGTGGGCTGGCGAGACAGCTCAGCAGTTAAGAGCCCTTGCTGCTCTTCCAGAGGACCTGAGTTCTGTTCCCAGCACCCACATCGGGTGCCTCATGAGTGTTTGTAATTCCGGCTTTAGAGGACCTGAACAGGAAGAGGCCTCTGAGGGTTACCCTCTCTCCTCAAATAAAAATAAATCTTTAAGACCTCATGTTACAATTGCTCTGTTCTGAAATTTTGGTATATCTGTAAACATGTGTGAAGAAATTTATAGACTCTGTGGCATAGTTACCAGTGCAGACCAAGTCAGGAGACAGGTTCAGAAGCTTGTGTGAGGAAGACAGGAGAGAGCAAAACAAAGCAGGGCATCAGACAGTTAGCAAATGGCTTTAAATGGAACATCACTAAGTACCCTATCTGCATATAACAAATCCAAATCCACTTCAGAACAGTTGGAGTCACTTAGCTTTCTATCGTGATAAAGTCTACATAATTTAGTAAATTTTTTTTCTCCCTACATTTTTGTGGGCAAGATCAAAACAGAGTCTCCCATTTCTATTTTGGGATTTGCCTGAGTCACAAGGTAGTCTTGGCAAATCATTCTCTCTCTCTCTGTCTCTCTCTCTGTCTCTCTCTCTGCGTTTCCTGCAGCTGCTTGTGAACTTCAATAGCCAGCCAAATAGGAAAAGGGCCCTTCTAGCCCTAAGTCATATGGACCTGGTTCAATAATGGACACGAATCACTACAAATGGATTTCCTCAGCGTGCTGGGGGTGGGTGAGGCATTTTACTTGACTACAGTGCTGGGAGAAAGGGCAGACTATATAGCTAAGCAAATCCAATGTTTGCATAACGTGCGTTTTCAACTAAAGATGCCCTTTCTGTATCCCTACTATATAGGGATACCCCACACCTCAAAAGTGAGCAAAGGAACGTGGCTGAGCTGACCCTGGCAAAGTACAGTTTAAATATAAAACAATGTGTGCATGGTCATAAACAACGGCCCGCCTTTTTTTTTCAAAGGTGGATATAAGGAGTCACTTCCAGTCAGATTCTTATTTGTGCCATCTATGCGGCCTTTTAATTCCTCCTGCTTTTGCAATTAGCATCCTCTCCTAAAGCTGTTGGACTTCAGTGCTCAGAATCCACCGCACTCCATGGTGCCTCTTGACAGAATGACTCTTTCTGTGCTCACACAAATGGAAAAAGAAAAGGTGACAAGCTCTGGGGAGGCGCCGTGCAGGTCTCAAACGGAAAAGCTGCTAAGCCACTCTTCCCTTGGCTGAGGGTTAGTGATCTGGTGTGGTAAAGGAGGCTTAGGACCCAGGGGGCGCCTTTCAGCTGAAAAATACCTCGCGCTGCAGCAAGCTAGCTGGAAAGCTCCCAGTTCTAGAGAAGCTGTTTACCAGAAGAGCATTAACAAGGGCAGGTCCGACTGCAAGGCTGGGGCTGGGAGGCCTACGGCTGCCAAGGAGACCCCAGTTGGCCACGGCTTGTTCCATCACTTGCAAGCCGGTGGAGGCGAGGATGCTGCTGGCTTGGGTACACACATTCCTTCTCAGCAACATGCTTCTGGCAGAAGCCTATGGATCTGGAGGTGAGATTACATTTTTTTTTTTTTCTTTCTGCAGCAACTTAACGAAGCAGAACGGGCAAAGCCCTCTATTTCCCCAACGTGGCCAGGTGGACAGGGAACGAAGCTTTGGGCTGTTTTGTTGGCTTGTGAAAGCTTTTCTTCTCCTTTCTCCTCTCCTTGCCAGAGGCTTGCGCTCCATCTTTGCTATTAAGAACAAAGGCAAGTGGCCACTTTCCCTTTCCCTTGTACAGGAGTGGATGGAGCTAGGGAGTTCACTGAGTGCTCTACTTCCTAGAGTCCGGTCTTTCTAAAGCCCTCTGCATGCTATGGCAGGCACACGGACCTCCCCCGTCCCCTGCCTCCTCCTGTGACTCTCCGGAGTGGGAGCTGAGAGTCACAGCCAGAAGGGACCAGGCAGATTCCATCCGTTGGAGCCTCTCTTCAACCTTCTACCTCACGGAATCCAGGCTTTTGTCAGATGCTCTCGGGAGGTGGTGTGGTCTGTTACACTGGCAGAAGGTGGCCATTTCCGCGGAAGAAGGGAACGTCAGTTTATATAACGTGGACACTTCAACACAGGGACGACTTTCAGCTCTGACTGCCCAGAACCCAAACTTTTAGCACCTGCACAGAGCCAGGCCCCCTGCTCCTTTCAAAGTGCACACAAGTTCGAGTGCAACAGTCCCTTGCACTTTTGCAGGCATCTGATTGTTGCCTAGGGGCTCGACCTCCTTCACTTGGAGGTGCACAGGGCTTTCCCTGCGAGGACCGGGGAAGTGCAGCAGGGCGCACGGTCCCCTACCTACACGCCCGGCTCCTGCGGACGTGGCTCCCCGACCTGCACACGCTGGGTCTCGGGGATTATTATGTTTCCTCTTCCTCACAGGGTGCTTCTGGGACAACGGCCACCTGTACCGGGAGGACCAGCCCTCGCCCGCGCCGGGTCTCCGCTGCCTCAACTGGCTGGCCGCACTCGGCGGCCTGGAGTCGGTCGCGGAGCCAAGTGAGGGTCCAGGCGGGGCGGGGCTGGCGGGCGGCGGCCTGGGTGGGCTCCTGGACTCAAGGCGCCTCCTTCTCCCCCCCCCCGCCCCCCCCGTCAGGCCCCGGCAACCACAACTACTGCCGGAACCCGGACCAGGACCCTCGCGGGCCCTGGTGCTACGTCAGAAGCGACAGCGGCGCCCCTGAAAAGCGGCCATGCGAGGACGCGCACTGCCCAGGTAACAGCCCGAGACCCCGGGACCTAGGACGCGAGCACCGCGCTCGCTTTCCCAGCCGGGGTTCTACCCGCTGTGCACGTGCGGCCGGTCGACGCCGGCCCGCCCCGCCCCGCCCCCGTGCAGTCCGATTGGTCAGGGCTGTCTCCAGGCCGCCGAGCTTAAAGCCCATTGGCCGCGGCGGCGTTCGGGGTGAGCTCATCCTCCGCAGAGCGCTTGTAAACAACCGTGGGAGGCGAGCCCGCTCCTTCCGGCCCGCCACGCCCCAAGGGACGGTCCTCGGTGCGCCCCACCAGCCTTTGCTGGTGTTGGGCCCGCTGTGCCCAGTCCATGAGAAAAACCTTCAGGGCGAGGAGTTCAGCGACCTGCCCAAGGCAATGACGGTGTGCACATTTGATCCAAGTTTTTTTTTTTTAATATTTATTTTATTTTTTTGCAATTTTAAAAAAGATTACTTAATAAACACGTAATTAGAAGTATTTCATTACAACAGCATTGACATATTCAATAACAATTTCCAGAGCTAAGATGCATCTCTTTCAAAATTGGCTGTAAATTTTTAGTATTTATTACTTTTTATGTGTATGTATGTATTGCCAGCATGTAGGTTAGTGCACCATGTCAAAAAGGTTTTTTAAACTAAAGAAAACAGCGTGCTGTTTCCAAGGTAGCGAGACAGTTCTCTAGGATTAAATGAGATAATCAAGGCAAAGCATTTAACACGGATTGGCACAAATTGTACACTGAGTATGAGCTACTAGGTGGCAGCACGGATTGCCTCCTGACTTGGAGTGGGGGGCGCCTGATGGTAAACTTGAGCTGTCTTGGAAGGTAGGAAGGATTTGAAGAGATGGGAGGCAGGAAAAGAGGCCGTTCCTTGTGGCCTTCTCACATTTGCCTCACATCACACCTCTGCCATGGTGTAGCCCTTTCAGGCCTATCTTGCTCCTGGGCCATAGTTTGATTTCGGTCTAGGGGATCTTTAAGGTGGACCACTCCCCCGACACCCCCAACACTCCACCCCCGCCAGGTTCAGCTATGGGGCGCGGGCGCATACACACAAGGGCAGTCTCTGATGAGAGTTGTTTCCCACGTCACCTCCAGAGACCACTTCCCAAGCACCACCAGCTTCCACAACGGAGCCGGAAGAGAGGTCTGATGTACCTGGTGACGATGAAGTGTTTGCTCCCGCTAATGCCCTGCCCGCCCGGAGTGAAGCTGCAGCCGTGCAGCCAGTGATTGGGATCAGTCAGCGTGTGCGGACGAACTCCAAGGAGAAAAAGGACCTGGGAACTCTGGGTATGATTGCCCTACCTCTGTCCTTGTTGGGATTCATCAGGAGATGTCCCTTGTTGATTGTCTGGGGTGTGGCTTATAGGACCTTGTGTCCTGTCCTTGACAGGTTATGTGCTGGGTATTACCATGATGGTGATCATCATCGCCATTGGAGCTGGTGTCGTGTTGGGCTACACCTACAAGCGGTGAGTAGCTTCTCCAGAGTTCTTTTCTGGAGGAGGGGTGAGGAGGGCACACAGTGTCAATCCAAACTTCTTTGTGGCTTTCCTACTCAAAAGGAAGCAAAGTGTTGAAGAAAAACGAGGTCAAGACTAGAGGTTTGGTTCTAGTTACTACTAGGTGGTTTTGGATCAACCCTTTCTTTCCTCTGGTGTTTTTTTTAGTTGTTGTTGCATTGTTTTCCGTGCTGCCCGAAAGCCCTTTAAGATAGTATGTGTGGATGTGGGTGTGTAGTGAATGATACATGCTGTGTGCGTGTGTACATGCCTAAGAGGTCAGAGGTTGACATCAGGAGTCTCCCTTAAATTCTCTCTACCTTTTTATTGGGGAGGTTCTTTTTGAGACAGGGTCTCCCTGGAGCCCCAGCTGGCCTGGAACTTGCTATGTAGACCAGGCTGGCCTTGAACTCACAGAGATCCGCCTGCCTCTGCTTCCCAAATGCTGGGATTAAAGGCGTATGCCACCATGCTCGGCTCACTCTACCTTATTTTTTAAAAAGATTTTAATTACTTGCATGTATGTATGTGTGCACATGTGGGTGCATGGAGTGCAGATGCCTGTAGAGGAGGACAGGTGAGGGTGTTGGATCCCTTGGCGCTGGAGTCACAGGTGATTGTGAGCTGGGAACTGAACTTGGATCATCTACAAGAGCAGTACATGCTCTTAACCACTGAGCCATCTCTGCAGCCCCTCCATCCTTATATTTTGAGACCGGGTCTCTCACAGAGCCTGGAGCTCATTGATTTGGCTAGACTGACTGCCAGTGAGCTCCAGGGATTCTCCTGTCTCCCCACCACTGGGATTATAGGCAAGTGCTGTCACACATGCTTTTTTTTTGTTTTTAGTTAATTTAAAATTTTATTTTGTGTATGTGTGTGCATGTGCGTGCATATGGAAGTCAGAGCACAGCTTGCAGGAGTTGATTCTCTCCTTCTGCCATGTGGATCCTGGGCTTGAACTCAGGTTGCTGGACTTGGAGGCATGTGCCCTTTGCCCACTGAGTCATCGCCCCAACCCCACAACCTGCTTTTACATGGGAACTAGGGATCTAAATTCAGGTATCCCATGCTTGCAGCAAGCACCTTACCCCCTGAGCCATCTTCCCAGCCCTCAGCTAGGAGGTCTTGTTACTCAAATTACTGATAAGGAAACCTTTGTCAGAGAGGTCCAGTGACTTGCCCAGTGTCATGTTGTCTGAGAATGGCAAAATCTAGATTCAAATTCAGCTTTCTTAAAAATATTTATTATCTTAATTTTATGTATACAAGTGTTTTGCCTGCATGTGTGCCTGTAGAGGCCAGAAGAGGGCATCAGATCCCTGGAACTGGAGTTATAGATGGTGGTTAGCCACCATGTGGGTGCTGGGAGATGAACCTGGGATCCTCTGCAAGAGTAGCCAGTGCTCTTAACCACTGAGCCATCTCTCTAACCCTAAAGTTCAGCTCTTTTGAAAACAAAAACCCTGTCCAATTGAAATGATGACTGTGCAGAAATCTGGCTGGACACTTGGGGCAAGGACCTGGAGATTGAATTTTTTTTTCCAGACAAGATTTCACTATGTAGCCCAGACTTGGCCTTGAACTACTAGTCTGGAACTCACAATCCTTCTGCCTCAGCTTTCTGAGTAGTGGGATTTATGAGCATGTGTCATCATGCCTAGAAAGAGACCAAATTCATTCTGTTGAGTTTTAAACATCTGCTACTAAGCTGGGTGTGATGCTGTGCACCTGTGATCCCAGCACTCAGGAGACTGAGGCCTGAGAATTGCCTAGAGTTTGAGGCTAGCCTGGGTTGCAGAGTGGGAGCCTATGTCAATAAAACAAAACAAAATATTCTGCTACTGGAAAAGGTTTCTAGCTGCTGTTTTTTCAGTCTCACGTTTGGGGCTTCAAATTTCCTTATCCATCATCAGTGGGATGTCCTCTAGGGTAGGAAGAAAAAAATGGGTTCAAAAGAAAATCGATTTGCTCCTCCTTACCACATATGAAAGTATAAGAGGCTGCTTGGGAAGCAGGGACATGGCCTGCAGCTGGGATGGCAAGGGCAGGAATGCTTGTGGGTGTTTTTGGTTTTTGAGACAGGGTTGCCCTAGAGCTCCAGCTGGCCTGGAACTCACTATGTAGACCATGGGGCCTTGATTTTTACAATGATTCACCTGCCTCAGCTTCCCAAGTGCTGGGATTAAAGGCATGTACCACCATGCCTGGCTTTGAGAAGGTTTGTTTTGAAAGTCTCCTGAGATGCCACATTGGAAAAGCACTTGTAATCACTGTGATTTTGATGTGAGTCAAAACCATAGTTACAACACTGGCTGACTCCAGACGATTATTTTTTCTTGGACAAAATTGGGGAATTTGACTTCTAGCTATGAGGGTCAACTGTATTTCTCTGACCCAAGAAGCCTTTGTTATAAGGGGAGTGATGCAGTGGGCCACATCATCTAGCAGTAAGAACCTTGTTGGACCTACAGTCATTGTTCTCAGCCAGCATTTTTAAAAATTTATTATTTTTATGTGTATGAGTATAATGCCCTCACATAGGTAGGTGCACCCATGTCATGCAATGCCCAACGAGGTCAGAAGAGAGCGTCAGATCCTTTGAACTGGAGTTAACAGATGGTTATTAGCTGCCATGTGGGTGCTGGGAATCAAACCTGGATCATCTGTAAGAGCAGTCAGTGCTCTTAACCCCTGAACCATCTCTCCAACTCCCTTAGCCAGCAATTTTTTTTTTTTTTTCTGAGATAGGGTCTCCTTGGAGCCCCAGCTATCCTGGAACTCACTATGTAGACCAGGCTGGCCTCAGACTCACAAAGATCCACCTGCCTCTGCCTCCCAAGTGCTGGGATTAAGGGCATGAGCCACCAATGCCCGGCAGCCAGCATTTTAAAAATGAGAGTATCTTAAGAGGTGTTGAGTCAACTGTATCTTTTAAAAAAATATTTACTTTTATTTTTATGTGTTTGTGTGTATTGCCTGTATATATGTAAGTGCACCTGTGTCATGTAGTGCCCTTGAGGTCAGAAGAAGGCATCAGACCCCCTGGAACTGGAGTTATAGATGGTTGTTAGCTGCCATGTGGGTGCTGGGAATCAAACCCGGGTCCTCTGTAAGAGCAGCCACTGCTTTTAACGACTGAGCCATCTCTCCAGCTCCTGAGTCAATCATATCGTACAGATGAAAATGGGGGAAGTGTTAAGTAATAACCACAGCTAGCAGCAGATGTCTCCTGTATGCCAGCCATCATTTCAAACTCTTTGCACGCCTCAACTTCTCACAGTCATTTTTGTTGTTGCTGTTGTTGTTATTGTTGAGACAGGGTTTCATGTAGTTCAGGCTGCCCTTGAACTTTTTATATGACCAAGGATGACCTTGAACTCTTTTTTTTTTTTTTTTTCGATCTTTTTGAGACAGGGTCTTCCTGTAGCCCCAGCTGGCCTGGAACTCACTTTGTAGACCAGGCTGGCCTTGAATTCACAGAGATCCGCCTGCCTCTGCCTCCTGAGTGCTGGGATTAAAGGTGTGTGCCACCACACCCAGCTTCAACTCTTTTTTAAAAAATATTTTATTTATTAGTTTTATTTTTATGTGTATGAGTGTATTGTCTGCATGTATGTGAGTACACCCATGTCGTGCAATGCCATGAAGGTCAGAAGAGGGCTTTGGATTCCCCTGGAGTTAAGGACTGTTTGTAGCCACCATGTGGGTGCTGGGAATCGAACCCAGGTCCTCTGCAAGAGCAGTCAGTGCCCTTGATCACTGAGCCATCTCTCCAGCCCTAACCTTGAACTCTTGATCCTCCTGCCTCTACCTTCTGAGTACTGGGATTGTGCTCACAGCCACTCTTTTGCGATAAATGCTGTTGTTATTGCCAGTTTTCAGATGAGGAAACTTGAGGCAAGAGAGAATAGCTACCTTGCCTGAGGTTGTACATCTTGAACTTGGTGGACAAAGTTATATCCTGAGACTAATAGCTATCTGTGGAAGTGGGCAGGTTGCTTCTATTTCTTCTACTCTAGAACATTGCTGTGGGGTAAAGGTGTGTGATTGCTTAGCTCATGTATGACACACAGTAAATGATCAATAAACAGTAGATGTTGTTCCTGTCTATAGAATGTGCCTCCCTGACTAGTTGGTTACCTTTTCTGGACTTTAGTTTACTTTTCAGATGGGAAATTAGATCTGTGGATCCTCCTAGCTCTGATGTTTCTTAAAAGGACAGTTGCCTAGTGGTGACTTTTTTGGTTTAAATCCCAGCTCTGCTAGGTGATTTAACCTCTTTTTCTGATGCTCTGTGAATCTGGAAGCAAAGGTTCAGACGAGAAGCACTGACCTGATTCCCAGACTGTGGCTGTGACCCATAGGAGGATAGTGACTTATAGGTCCAGGAATACCTGTTTGTTCATTTCAGAAAGATTGAAGAAATAGTGGAGTTGCCCTGCATGTGCAATTCATAGACCCAAACTATGGTGACTAAATTTAGCCCTTGAAATCTTTCTCGCTTCCTCAGCCACTGGACAGTGTTTGGCTGTCCTCCAGCCTTGTTACAGTTTCCAGACTGTCCAGGTGCTTGGACTAACTGTTCTCAATTCCAATCTCAGTTGGTGCCCAGTGCAGAAACCAGGGCTTTTTCTTCTAATTTTAATCTTCTAGATTGTTGTGGGATTGGCCTGTGGCCTGGAGCTTACTTTCTTATAAATTCAGGGGAAGGCACGAAGTCACCAGACTCCCCGTCACTAACCACCCCTTTCCTTAACGAACATACTCAGAGAACAGCCTCTTCAAACAGGAAACCATGTGTGTGGGCTAGAGACAAACTCTGAGTCTCCACCTCCCCACAATTAGAGAACAGAGTGTCCAGACAAGCGCTGTAGGTTGAATGTCATTTCAGGCAGCCTCTGAACCTTGGTAGGTATCCTGTCTATTAAATGGGGATACCTCCTCCTCCACACCAACCACCTGATTATTGTTAAGCATTATCTGCAAGCAGCAGGACAGTAATCAGATAAAGATCACAGTAGCAGCCAACATTTATTTTGTGCTTTCTTGATAAGGTCCTGCTCTCTGCCCTCTCTTGATTTTCTAAGGCTCTCGACTACCCTAGATGCACTGTTGAGCTGCAACCGAGAAGTTACAGCACTAGTCCCAGCTATCCACCCTAGACTGTATGGGTTTTTTGTGTTTGTTTTGAGACAGGTTCTCATTCTGTAGCCCAGGCTGGTCTAGAACTCCTGATCTCCCTGTCTTAGCTTCCCAAGTCCTGGGATTACAGGCATGAAGCTTCTGAGTCACCATGTCTGGCTGGACAGGAAGGTGTGTCTAAAGATTACCAGTAGCTCTAAAAAGTTCACCAGAGCCCAAGAGCCTCATGTCAATTTGAATTACAGAGGGCAGTAGGAAAAATAGAAACTTCTCAAAGAATGGCTGAGTTTATAGAAGTCAAAAGGAACAAGACCCTATTCTGGAATTGTTATCAATTCTGGATGCCATACTGGGCAAGTTATATACCTTTTCTGGGCCTCAGTTTACTCATCAGGTAGGGAATTAGATACACTGCTCCTCTCGGCTCTGGCGTTTCTTTGGAGGACACTGTTGCCTTGTGGAGGCTATATTGGTTTAAATCCCTGCTTTAGCATTTGCTTGAGCAGGTGATTTAACCTCTCCGTTTACCTTTTACAGTTCTGAGATTATTAATATAGATGGCACATAGATCTGTTGTGAAGGCGAGTCAGCGTGCTTTGGGTATACAGTTGTGTGCAAACACTGTAACCGCCTTGGGAAACCTGCCCTGAGCTGCAGCATGGCACAGCATTGGTTCTGACTTGGAAAACAGCAGCAGCTCAGAGTAATCATTGAAGAAGCCTGTGCTGCCTTGAAGAGGTCTCTGGTATTTCCATAACCTTGGGATAGGTCAGAGGTAGACGGCCCTTCTGCACCTTCTACAAGTGTTCTATCTGGCCAGTCCAGATCCCATTTCTGGTCCCAGAGCCAGGTAATTCCTGCAGGTTTGAACTCCGCCAAAGGTGTTGAGGCTTGATAGACGGAGCGAGCTTCCCCTTGATGGGAAGGGTGAGCAGGCATCAGTATTCCTCTGGGGAGGGAGGGCTGAAGGTAGGCTTAGCCTGGCTGCCTCTTTGTCCTGGTAGTTTGGGCCATGGGGTTTGGCCAGCCAGTCTGCTATTCGGCAGTGAGGGGTCCCTGCAAGTGCATTGTCTCAGCTCTGCAGGGAGTTCTTATTTTCTGATAAAAAGGGGAGGGAAAAACAGTAAGTCAACACCAGCTCACCCTCTTGGGAGAGAAGCTGAGTCTGTGAATAAGCTTTTTGTTCTTTCATAGTTGCAGACAACAGCCAGACTGTCCCCTGCCCCCAAGGCAACTAGAGGGGGCTGGCCTCCCTGATGGTCAGTATATATACATAGGCCTGGCAGCCTCAGCACCTTCAACTCCAGGATTCCCAGGGAGCATTAGCAGCAGGCACATGGGGTTAGGCCTTCTTCCAGGCTCCTGAATGGATGAAGTTAATCCAGACTGGTGGTAGTGTCTTCTTTCTTTCCCCTAGGTTGCTCTTCAGCCCTGTTCTGCCCTAATTATACAGATTCCCTCCCACCCCCCATAGTCATGTGTGATGAAGCCCGACCTTTACCAGCAGCTCAGTATGCCACAGCCATATGCTTGGTAAAAAGAGGGAGCTGAAGAAAGCCCTGGAGTTAAATTCCAAAGCCTCAGTTTATTCATGTAGAAAATGGGGAGAAGTTAAAAGTTGGTGCATGTATAGTGTGTGGCATCCATCAGGAGCATGGGTGGTCCTTCTCATTATGGATGATAGGCCATTCCTGGTACCTTGGTAGGTATTCCAGAAGTCATGACGTCCTGGCTTTCTTCCTCCAGGTCCATAGATTTTGAATTTCAGCCTCTGGCATGTTCCGTTTCTTTTATAAACTGCTGCTAGTTTGGATCCCTTACTAAAATTAAACCTGAACCTTCCATTTTTTTCCCTACATGGGCAGTCTTGAAGAACCTGGCATTTTGTTTTATTATGGAGTTAGGTGTTTCCTTCTATGTGGCACCAGACCATAACTGATGAACAGTGTCCAGTGACTCAGGATGTGACTATGGGAACTCTTGTTCTAAACAACCCTCTCATCATAGTGTTCCTTTTCCCTGTGGGTCCTTTGGGAGTTTTTCTGGGGTTGGAATTGATGATGTCCAGTATAGAAGCTAATGAGGATGTGATAGGCCTGGGCTTGCATGTTCATAAAGTTGGTTACCAGGGTGACTCAGGAAGATGAGCTCACAAATCTGTGACCTTACAATGAGAATTAGGGGATCAGAGCATATTTCATGTGGGGACTCTTGTAGAATGTCTTGGGCTCTGGATATTATCATATCCCACTATTTTAAGATGATGAAATTAAAATAGGAGGGATTATAGAAGTCATGAACAATACTTGACTTGGCTAGTCAATAGCAGAGTTCTTTTGGGAAACCTGATTAAGACAGCATTGCTTGATGAGTCAGGTCCTATTCAGGGCAATTCATCATAATCTGTGAGTTTTTGCAATGGTTGTACTAGTTTGGAATTGATTTTGCATTATCTTGTTCGAAGCAGATGAAGAAACCAAGGCTCAGGCTGTATTGCGGAATGTTGAATAGCCAGTGCTGGTGCTAGGATACAAAGTAAAGGGAATTAGATAACTTAATATTTATTATATTATATATTATTTATTTATTTTATTTATTGGTCTTTTTGAGATAGGGTCTCCCTGTAGCCCCGGCTGGCCTGAAACTTACTATGTAGACCAGACTGGTCTTGAACTCACAGAGATCCATCTGCCTGCCTCTGCCTCCCGAGTGCTGGAACTAAAGGAGTGTGCCACCATGCCTGGTTTATTTTTATGTGCATGAGTATATTGTATTGCCTGCATGTGTGTAAGTGTACCCATGTCGTGCAGTGGCCACGGAGGTCAGAAGAGGGCGTCAGATCTCCTGGAACTTAAGTTATGGATGGTTGTTAACTGTCAAGTGGGTGCTGGGAATCAAACCTGCGTACTCTGCAAGAGCAGCCAGTGCTCTTAACCGATGAGCTGTCACTCCAGCCCCAGAATTACATAGTTTAAAGAGGATTCCGAGGCACCTGTGCAACTCTTTTTCCTCCAGCATCATCTTCCCCAGCTTTTGTCATTGCATGTCACATTGTGACGGATGTACAATTCATCTCATCATGGCCATGCCCCTAAGGAAATCTTAAGCAGGCCCATGTTGTTTTATCAAGTCATTCATCACATACTTCAAGGCTCCTTCTGAGAGGGTTTCTCTGGCAGCTGAGCCCTAGTTGTTGGCTTCAGAGGATGTCACTTTGGGTTCTGAGTACTGGTTCTGGTGTGCAATCTATTGGACATTCTTCAAGCCCTTTGGTTGGCATTGGGGATGGTCAGATACAGTGGGAAGGGCCCTACATGGGCTGAGTCAGAGGACTGAGCAAATTTGAGTCCCTGTACCACCATTTCTTACGGGATGACCTTGATGGGGTCAGAACTTCTCTTAACAGCAGCCAGAGCACAGTAAACTTGGGCTTAAACCTACAGCATTCTTGGAGCATTCCAAAGCCGCTTACTTTTGTGCATAAAGTAAGACCTAAATCTTGGGGGTTGAACTAGAATAAAGTAAGCTGATATAGGTCACATCCCAGGTACAGAGTATTCCACATAAGCAGAGCAGCACTGTGGAGTATCTGGAGAATTAACAGGCATTGACAGATGAGAAGTTTGACGGCCATTTCATTGTTTCCTCTTGACCTACACAGCCCTAAGTCCCTTTTGTTCTTGCCTGGGTTAGGAATGGTCCATTTCAGCCTGGGTTCCTACCCTCCATGATATTTGGGTAAGAAGGCAATGTTTTCTTTTTCTTTTTGTCTTTTTGAAACAGGGTCTCCCTATAGCCCCAGCTGGCCTGGAACACATAGAGATCTACTTACCTCTGCCTCCCAAGCGCTGGGATTAAAGGCATGAGCCACCACGCCTGGCTAGAAGGCAGTCTTTTAGTTAAAAAAACCAATTGCCCCAAACCCCCAAATAATTTATTTTGTGGTGGGGAGGCCACATGCATGCTACATTAAGTTCAGAGGACAACTGGTGGGAGTGGGTTCTCCCTTTCCTCCATGTGGGTTCCAGGCTTGGCAGCACAAGGAAATCTTGTAGGATGGTCAGGTCCATTTTTCTGCAGTTTCATGGGTTAGGGCTGAAGCTAGGTTGGATAGTTCTCTGGGTCTCTTGGACCCCTGGGCTGAAAGAACAAAACTACATCTTTAAGTAAACTCTTCTGCATTATCCACTGAGCCCTATGGCTGCTGTCACCCTCAGCTTTCTGATGGGGAAGCAAAGTCAAGAGTTGGCAGGGGTGCTTTGTTAGTTTAAAGTAGGCTGGGGGAATTTACACCTGATGTCTTGGGCCTAGGTTGGTGTTAGTTGTGGCTTAGTTACTGATTTGCTGTGACCAGGGCGAGCTCCTGACTTGACCTCAGGGATACTGAAACTGAGCAAAGCCATGCTGGACACGCAGCCTCAATGCTTTCTTCTTTTCCTGCCAGGGGAAAGGACTTGAAAGAGCAGCATGAGCAGAAAGTGTGTGAGAGGGAGATGCAGCGGATCACCCTGCCGCTGTCTGCCTTCACCAACCCTACCTGTGAGATCGTGGATGAGAAGACTGTCATCGTGCATAGCAACCAGACTCCTGTCGACCTCCAGGAGGGCAGCACTCTCCTCATGGACCAGGCCGGCACCCCTGGGGCCTGAACCCTGCCAGTGGGGAGGAGTCCACGCAGACACTGGTGGAGGACAGCCCACCCTTCCATGACTGGGAGGAGCTACATTTTGTGTTGTGGTTAAGACCCTAATCCCCATTTCTCTTTCCTTTTTTTTGGGTGGATCCTTACAACAAGCAGAAGCAGGTAGCACTGTGGGTAAGGGCAAGGAGGCTGGGTAGGGCCTATTGATGCTCCTTTTCCATCCCTTGGAGCACAGTTTCACTTGTGGATGGAGACAGTGGCACAGCTCCCTAAGTGGTGCTGTGGTTAATAAGGGCTTCCAGACATTGCCTATGGCCCTGGAACTGGACCAGGGACAGATGGGGAGCTCCCCAAGGCTCCTCTGTGCTTTATTATCTAAGATGGCCTCAGCCTCTGTTTCCATTTGTTGTTCAAGAGCTTGAGTGGCATACACTGTTATTTAAAGTTAGACAGGTCAAGAGGCAGCATTTAAAAAAAAAATTGTTTTTTAAGTATTTGAGATGGACTGACTTCTGAGTCAGTCCCTGCTGACTTCTGAGAACCGGAAATGAGTTTGTATAAAAGTCAGAACTCTGAGCTGAGAAGGGCTCTAGGCTGGATGCTTGCTGGCTGTGCTTCAGCTTGCTGGCTGTGATGTGCCTTGACAACTGTGGGCCAGACCTGGGCCCAGGGTATCTTCCTGTTTCGAAAGGAAAAGGGAAGAATTGCACTAAACATTCCATTTAGGAAGAAGATAGAAAACCTGTTTCTGCTTCAGCCTAGCCACAGGGCACAAGCAGACCTCGGATGTCCAGACTGTCTCTCTTCTGGGATGGATAGTGACCTCTCCATTTTGTGCCAGTAATAGCAGCCAGCCAGCCCATAGGAATCATACACTTCAGGGTCTGGGGAGCTGCTTCTGTGAGGTGAACTTGAAAACTAAGCTCAAAGGCTAGGTAATAAAGCCTGGTGGGACTCTGCAGCATACCCTAGTTTGCAGGCAGCCCTGTGGCCCCCAGGCAAGTGCCTTCTGTAGGGCTAGAGTTGCAACCCATATGAAATAATCACAGAACCACTGGAAAAGACCCTGAGGTTCTTTAAGTCTTTCAGATGAAGGGCCCTAGAGAGGGAAAAGACTTGCCCAAGATCAAAGAGCAGCTTCTGAGTGGCAGAAGTCAGCCTCTTGGCTGAGTGCAGTGTTTCTCTACTGCTGTGTATAATGGCTCAGAGCCCTACAGGCCCTGCTGTCACTGAGGCCTTGGCAGCGCTCCCCAGCCACTGCCCTTCTACTGCTCAACATGGAGAGAGGTGAGTGGGGCTCATTCCCTTCAGCAGGCTATTCCTTAGAGCCATTTGTTGAGGGGACCCAGACCTCAGGGGTTCCCGTGGTGGTATTGGAATTAGAAAAGAGAACATTACTGATTTCTACTTTTCTATAAAAGCATTTCTCTGTATACATGTTTTATATACCTCATTCTGATACCTGTGTGTAATGTATGGGAAATTGCTCTGCATTTGAACTTCTATAAACATGAAACAAAATTCTGTCTTGCCACATTATTTGTGAGATATTGAGAACACTCCCCCAGTACCTTGAAATGATTTGCGTTACCTTGTCCACATCTGTGCAGTGAGTGCCAGTTTTCTCTTCATATCCTGGCCCAGTAACTGCAAGGTGCTAACAGTTGAACTGCTGCAAAATACAGCTTCTGCATTCTGTCACCAGGAACCTTAAAGGCTGCAGCTGCAGGATGGCAATGTGAACATCCCAAGAAGGGAGTTGGTCACAGAAAGTCTTTTCCCCTTTTGCACTCTTTACAAGGTGAAGGGAGTCGGGATGAATGCAACAGCCCTTGGGAGTAGTTGACTCTGCAGCAGCCAAAGGAGGAATAGAGGGTGGGCTGCCTGAGGCTGAGGGGGCTTCTTGTGGGTGATTCCTAGTGTTTTAGGAGGGAAGTTACAGGGAAGCGTTTCTTGAACTTACAACAGAGGACCTCCCAACAATGCTTGGGAGAACTTATCTTTGGGTTTGTGGATTTATTTTGAGACAGGGTCTTGTCATATAGCACTGATTGGCCTGAAGCCCACTAGGTAGACCAGAAACACATGCTACTATGCTTGGCTGGGGTTGTGGATGCATGTTGTCCCCAGGACCTCACTATCAGTGGCATTATCTGGTCCAGTGGTCTGGTTCAGAAGTTTCAGGGGTGGATGTGGAAGACCCCCGAGGACTTGGCCAGCAGGTGGGAGCTAGGCACAATAGCTCTGTGGCCAAGGTGATATCATAAGCCAGCTGCACAGAAGGGGCTGCCTCAAGTGGATGTGCATGGTGAAAAAGGTTGGGGTCCACCTAAGGAGAGGAGATTAGGCTTAGAACTCCCTGATGCAGAGTTGTGTGGCCTATGCCTGGAGGTGACCAGCAGACTCTCGTTATTTATTTCCAGTCAGGCCCTAAATCACTTTTTCACTCTCAGTATCATCGCTTATGTTCACTGCTTAATTTATTTAGTCTGTTTAATGGCCCAGCTCAGGCCCACCACTCCCACACTTGCTGGGGACATCTCGAGTACAACCAGCCACAGGATGTTGAACCATGCTGCTGTTGGGAGTTCAGGACACACCCTACAGCAAATTTGCAAACTCTACACACAAGCACAGTCTATGTAGCATGTAAAATGGCCAGAGATGGCCTCCCATCCCACAACTTATCTGGTCTATGTACAATATTTCACATATTACCCAACAGATAAAGCTAAAAACAGCAACCACTCTCCTGGATCCCCACCACCACAACTCACCATACACTGTTTTTACACCCCCAACCCACTCCCAATTTGTTAACTATGGTGCGAGCTCACAAACACTTAGGAAGAGGCAAACCTAGGTGTGTTGAGTGTCCCTGGACATCTGGCAGCCAGGGTGGAGGATGCCCCAATGGTTTCCAATACCCATGGTCCTGGAGTGTGGCTCAGGAAGCTGCAGCCAGAAACTAAGCTGGACAAGTCAATAAGGGAGGTAGAATCTAAAATGCCCAGCTCAGGGACTCTGCAGCCACCACTTCCTGTCCAAGGTTGCTGCCTGGAACAGGCATACTAGGTAAGCAGGAGCTGCCACACGGACAATGCCAAGAAACTGCTTAGCCTCCCCTCCCTGCCTCAGGTCCCAGGTCTGTCAAAGACCTCACTGGCCCCATAACCCATCTAGTGTTGTACAACATCTTGAGCTTTTGACTGAGCCCACCAGCCAAGATACAGGGCTTTCTGAGGGCAGAGTCTCTGTTTCCAGCCTCTTCAGTGCTTGTGGGTGACTGCTTGTTGAGACAGAATATGCTGCCAAGTTTCCATGAGGTGGAAACTCTCCCTGCACTTATGTGGTCCCTGGGCTGATGAGCAGAAACCAACCCTTTTCCTGACTCCTGGCAGGTTCCACCACAAGCCACAAGACTCCTTGAAACATACTCTTGTGCCCTCTGCTCCAGAGGGTAGGGCCTGGAGTGGAAGGGGACATCGCCACTGTCATTTCGCACCCTTTAAGGCCACCAGTTTCTCTTGCTCACACTACTACTTGAAGTCCTTCACCTTGTTTGACCAGAGACTTCAGCACCCCAGGTCAGTTCACCCTTGGATCCTGCCCAGCAGGCCCAGGTCATGTTGATAAGTGTAAGCCACAGCCTCCCAGAATCCCACTGCTGGGAGGGTCCCAAGTAGAGTAACAGACTCCTCCTGGTCCAGAGTCCAGGATCTTTTTATCTTCTTCACAGCTTTCAGGTGAGTGTTGGATTTACAGACAGTAATCAGGTCCCAAAAACCTGTGGAGAGGTGTTTCCCTGCGCCTGCATGCCTCCTGGGGAGGTAGTAGGGATGGCTCATTCAGCTTCTAAATAAGCCGCCAATCCACAGGAAGCCCAGTCAGCCCTGCTCATAGCAGGGACAGGGCGCAGAGGGGGCAATGCTGGCTGTGGGACGACCCCCTGCAGGGGGCTGGGCCAAGGCTAGGGAGGCGAGTCCCGGGTCAGGCCGTACTCCATGCTCACAGTGTGGTCCAGCTCCTCCAGCTCTGCGGGCAGTGGGATGGCCAGTTCTCCCAGGTATAGGGAGAGGGCCTCAAAGGAATCCTCCAGTTTTGAGAATGCTGGTCTGTAAAGAAAACCGTGAAGAGGCAGGTGGAATATGAGCAAGATCATAGGGTGGCCTGAGAAGAATCTAGGCCCTGAGCGCAGCTATTTCCTGAGTGTATAACTTCAGACAGACCCCTTAAGTTCCTGCTATACATATTAAAGATAATACTGTGGGACTGGAGAGATGGCTAGGTGGTTAAGAGTACTGGCTGTTCTTGCAGAGGACCTGCGTTCAGTTCCCAGCATCCATATGGCAACTATCAACTATCCGTTACTCCAGTTCCAGAGATCCAACTCTCTCTTCTGGCTTCTACAGGCATTGCACACACATGGTGCACTTACATGCATATAGGCTAAACATTCATATACATAAAAGTAAATAAGGGGCTGGAGAGATGGCTCAGCGGTTAAGAGCACTGACTGCTCTTGCAGAGGACCCGGGTTCGAGTCCCAGCATACACAAGGCAACTACGAACCGTCCTTAACTCTAGTTCCAGGAGAATCCGAAGCCCTCTTCTGACCTCCATGGCATTGCATGACACAGGTGCACTCACATACATGCAGGCAATACACTCATACACATAAAATAAAAATAATAAATAAAATATTTAAATTAAAAAAAATATATATCAAAATAAAAAATAAGGTAACACTGTGAGAAGGCTATCCAGGCTTAGAGGTGGTTGCTTGAGGAAAAAAAAAATCCAGGAGGAAAACACCCTTTCCATGTCTTAGAGAAAAATGCAACAATCAAAGGTGGGGTTGGACTAAGTGGCTTTTTACTTATTAAAAGAGAATTTGGAGCTGGGCGTGGTGGCGCACCCCTCTAGTCCCAGCACTTGGGAGGCAGAGGCAGTCGGATCCCTGTGAGTTCAAGGCCAGCCTGGTCTACATAGTTCCAGGACAGCTGGGGCTACAGGGAGACCCTGTCTCAAAAAGACCGAAAAAAAAAAAAAAAGAGAATTTGGGTGCTGGAGATGTAGCTCAGTTGGCAGTGTTGAGTGCTTGCCTACCATGCACAAAACCCTGAGTTTGATGCTCAGCACCACATAACTGGGTGTGATGGTTCAAACCTTTAATCCCAGCATTTAAGAGGTAGAAGCAGAGCTGGAGAGATGGCTCAGCAGTTAAGAGCACCAGTTACTCTTGCAGAGGACCTGGGTTTGAGTCCCAGCACCCACATGGCAGCTAACAACCATCCTAACAACTATCAGTTTCAAGGGATTCCAATGTCCTCTTCTGACCTCTGAGGGCACTGCATGACAACGGATGCATTTACATACATACATTCAGGCACTACACTCATACACATAAAACAAAAATAATAAAGTATTTTTAAAAAAGAGGTGGAAGCAGTACCAGGCGTGGTGGTGCACACCTTTAATCTCAGCACTCGGGAGGCAGAGGCAGATGGATCTCTGTGAGTTTGAGGCCAGCCTGGTCTACATATCGAGTACTAGGCCAGCTGGGGCTACAGGGAGATCTGGTCTCAAAAAGACCAAAAAAGAGGTGGAAGCAAGAGGATCAGATGTTCAATTGTTCAATGTCATCTTCAACTACATATCAAGTATGACACCAGCCTGGGCTACATGAAACCCTGACTCAAAAGCAAAGAAACATAAAAATAACAACTAAAAAAGTCAGACCTCCCAAAAGAAGTACTGGGAGTAGAAGGAACCCAGGCCCTGCCCCATGTTAAGTAAGAACTATAGCACTGAGCTACATTCTCCTAGGTGTGTTTTTATTAACTGAGGTCAAATGCTTTATCTCTGAGGTCATGTGGTCCTAACTTTAGGTGCCTTTTGTGCATGTGTGTGTGTGGGGTACTAGAGATGGAACCCAGGGCTTTGAGCATTCTAGGCCAGTGCTGTATCACTGACCTATATCTCCAACCCTTGGTTGTTTTTGAAACAGGGTCTTCCTGTAGCTCTAGCTGGCCTAGAACTCCCTATGTAGACCAGGCTGGCCTCAATCTCAGAGACCACTTGCCTCTACCTCCTGAGTTGTGGATGGAATTAAAGGTGTCTGCCACCATTTTATTAATCAATCAATTAATTAATTAATTGGTCTTTTTTGAAGCAGGGTCTCCCTGTAGCCCCAGCTGTCTTGGAACTCACTATGTAGGCCAGGCTGGCCTTGAACTCACAGAGATCACCTTCCTCTGCTTCCCAAGTGCTGGGACTACAGGTGTGTGTCACCATGCCCGGCTTTATTTTTATTTTTTTATGTGTATGTGTGTATTGCCTGCACGGGTAAGTGCACCCGTGTCTTACAATGCCTGCGGAGGTCAGAAGAGGCTGTCGGATCCCATGGAACTGGAGTTTCAGACAGTTGTTAGCTGCCATGTGGGTGCTGGGATTCGAACCCGGGTCTTCTGCAAGAACCACCAGTATTCTTAACTACTGAGCCATGTCTCCAGCCCCCATTTTATTTAATTTTTAATTTTTAGTTTTTGTTTCTTTTTAAAAATTTTTTATTTTTAAAAATTTTATTTATTATTTTATGTATATGCATGTATTGCCTGCATGTAGGTAAGTGCACCCATGTCGTGCAATGCCCGGGGAGGTCAGAAGAGGCTATC